TCTTTCTATAAGTTCACATTTGAATCAACTTGTGTATACGAGTCATGTCAAAAGTTTCAGCTAATAACATCAATTTAAGACTAATTCTTGCACCAGATTCTTGTATCTTATTGTAATACTCACCAAAATCCACTCAAGGTTGCTGTTGCTTTTCTTACTAACTCTTATGAATTAATCTAAGTAAAACATATAAAATAAATCTAAAATTTACAGTATAAAACACACTAAGTGCTATAGTACCTGAAGTATACACCAGAAAGGGTATCATGTTTAGAAAGAATAACAAGTTGCTCCTGTAAATCTACAGTGATACAGATTATGTTGGATAAATAGTAGATAGAAGATCCACTACAAGTTATTGTACATTTCTTAGAGAAAATTTGATCATATATGGAAGCAAAAGAAGAATGTGGTAGCAAGATCCAGTACAGAATCAAAATTCCAAGTGATAGCTCAAGGAGTCTGTGAGTCATTATGGTTGAAAGTGATTGTTGAAGACCTAAGAAGCAAGTGGAATGGTCCAATGAGACTCTATTGTAACAACAAGTCATCAATCAACATTTTTCATAGTCCAATACAGCATAATATGGCAAAACATATTGAAGTCGACAGACATTTCATCAAAAAGAAGTCAGACAGTGGTTTGATTAGTATACTCTACAAGTTAGCAACTTCCAACTTGTAGACGTGCTTATTGAGGGCTTGAACAATCCAACATTTCAAACAATCATTATCAAAGGAATGGAAAATGTCGATTCACCAGCTAGAGGGGAAGTGTTGAAAAGTGTATATATAATTTAATGAATAAGCATATTATAGTAAAATACTCTTTATGCAATTAATTTTAAAGTTTCCTTTTCTATACTCGAACCAATGTATATACAGGACCCAACTATTCAATAATAAATCATAACATTTCATTCTTCCACACAAACGAATTTGGAAATTAATCACATTTCTAGTTTTCTATTTCTAAAATATTATTTTTCTATCATAACTACTAAACACTTTTCCTTAGACTATAAAAGCATGATCAAAGAATTTATCCCTACTAACAAAATTGCTATGTTGCTTTTCTCGTGAACCAAACTCTTTACTGCACAAGGTAATAAATGGTATCCATGGTAGGGAAAGGAATGCTTGGGATGTCCTTGTTGGAAGATCCATTACTCACCAGAACCCTTGAAAAGCCATTTTCCCAAATCCACCCTTTGTTTAAACATCACTCACCTGATTACAAGTGGCAAATGGTACTAGAAGACTTTTTTGGGAAAATAGATGGTTGGGAGACGAACAATTGGCTACAAATTCTTGAAATTATACCAACTGTGTACCAACACACCATCCATGCTTCTATCTTTGCTATTAATA